TCGCCGCGGGACAAACAAGCCTTCCAGCATCGATGCCAAGCTTTCAACCTTGTTTCCTTCTCTTCACCATAAGTTCTGTCCACGACTGAAACTGTCCGCCCGCATTCACCCAATTATTCGGCCACATAGGACGGTATCTAGGTCCTTCCGTAGCCCATTGCGCAAGCCACCTTCGTCATTTACAATAGGCCAGGTCCGTGTTGAAAAATCCCAATGGCTCCCCGCAAAAGCAATGCCTCCGTCTGGACCGCGATTAGCGTCAGGATCGGGATCTGCAGTCAAGTTCCTGGTGATCATTTCCTGTTCCGCTCCGAGATCATCCCCAGTCCCGTTGACTTTGTTTAAGACGTTGCGGAGGGTGCAGCTTTGAGTTTAGTCTCCGCTGCTGCCGCGTCACCAGTCTCTACATCTCTACACCGCAGAATATGCTGCTGTATGCTATCATGAGGTTCACCAACAGTGGCCTCCACGGCCTATATATATCATTAAACGAATGGCCAGCTTTGATATTGCAGGCATCATTCAATCATCAGCCATCTGTTCTCCTCTGGTCGGGTCGTCTGCCAAATTATCCAACATGTGGTTTGCAAATGTGGCTGTTGGGATGGCCTTGGTCGGCTCGGCGGCGACGGCGGCAGCCACCCCGGCGAGGTCGGCCAACTGCAAGGCGGCCACTTTTCAAAAGTACATTGATGCCAACGGTACGCACGCCAAAGTGCAATGGGCAACCTACATTCCTGCCAATGGAACGTTCAATCCGATGAACTACACCTCCTCCTCTGAGTATCCCATCAACCTACCGGAGGGGTGTGGCGTGCAGATCAACGTTCCTTCTGAGGGCAACTCCAGCTACCTAGTTGGCCTGATCTTGCCGTACGACTGGAATGGTCGTCTGCTGTATGTATCACCAGATTCGCTTCAAATTCCCTACTGACTTGCTCGCAGCTCGGCTGCGGCGGGTGGCGGCATCAACTGGGTTGACATGGGCACTGGCACTCACTACGGCTTTGCTACTCTGTCGAGTAACCTAGGTCATGTCGGTATTGACACCGAAGGGACCTGGGCCATTGGCCGACCTGAGGCGGTGGTCGACTGGGGCTATCGAGCCTGGCACGGGGCGACCGTCTTAGGAAAGCTATTGATTCAGAATTGGTATGGCTCGGCCGCCAAGTACAGCTACTTCTATGGATGCTCGACCGGTGGCCGACAGAGCATGAAGAACATGCAGGAGTACCCAGAGGACTACGACGGAATCCTCGCGGGCGCACCGGCCTGGTGGACCACGCACCAGCAGCTGTACAACCTGAAGCAGACCACCTACCAAGCCCCGGCCAATTCCTCGCACACCATCCCGGAGTCAATGTTCGATGTCATTGCCGCCGAGGTGCTGAGGCAGTGTGACGCCCAGGATGGCCTGGTCGACAACATCATCTCCGACCCGGCGGGCTGCAACTTCAACCCCAACGTCCTGATGTGCAATGCTACCAGCGCGGCGGACGAGTGCCTGACCGCGGAGCAGCTCGCCACCCTGTACAAGATCCACAACGACTGGGTCGATGTCAACCAGACCTACGTCTATGGCCACCTGTGGCTGGGCAGTGAGTCCTCGTGGCTGACCGGCAACATCGGGCTGGGCGAAGACAGCACCATCGACCAGCAGTACTGGTACCCACGCGACCTGATGGGTCTCTCCGACTTCGTGTGGCAGGATCTGGACTACAGCACCGTGCAGCTCGCCGAGCAGCTGAACCCAGGCAACGCGACGGCCGACAGATTCGACATCAGCGCCTTCCACAACCGCGGCGGTAAATTCCTGCACTACCATGGTCTGTCGGACTCATACGTCTCCCCGGATGCCAGTATCTACTACTACGACCAAGCCTCCAGCGCGCTGAAGCCCCAGGGCGTGGAGATGGATGATTTCTACCGCATGTTCTTGATCCCCGGCATGGAGTAAGTTTTTCCACCGTGTTCTGCCCGCCTGGTCATCTCCTTGATTGGGCCTTGATGAAACGACTGGCTAACTGTCAATGAAAAGGCACTGCTACTCGACCCCGGATATCATGAACGCCCCCTGGTACATTGCCGGCGCGGACCAAGCCGCCATGCTCAACACGGGCACGTACAGTGTCCCCGGGTACCGGGACGCCAAACACGACATCATTCTCGCGATGATGGCCTGGGTGGAGAACGGGACCGCTCCGGACAGTATCATTGCCACCAAGTGGAAGAACGACACGACGGCGACGGAGGTCCTGCGCCAGCGGCCCGTGTGTCATTACCCCTACCAGGCCCAGTATAACGGGACGGGTGACCCGGATGAACCCAGTAGCTGGAGCTGTAAGCTCTTGTACTAGAACTGTTGAAGGGGTATTGGAAGGAGGCCTTTGGCCGCTCTGAATTGAAGTCAAATAGCAAGATAACTTTCAAGACACGAGATATTCCTTGTATTTGTTCCTATGATACTTATCTACGAATACATTAATGCGTCCAGCAGACCATCACATTATGCAGCCTAGGCTTAGAAATGAGAGCAATGTGATCAGCTCAAACCGTAAGGCAATTTTGGCTAGGAAGTTTTGCACACTCGCAGAGTATATCTCGGAGTCGGTGCCTCGATTCACTTCCGACAATGACAAAAACCCGGCAAATGCAAGCTTGCCGTGAGCAATCCCGACATCGACGCCGATGCGCAGCACCGCGCCCCAGCATTATTTATCTATCAATAGTAGCCCGGTATGCCATGGTGGATGATTGTCTACACAACTCTCGCAGTCCGTGCAATTCAATACCTCTTTCCCAACGCCCAGGGGTCCCTCTGAACCCCGTTCTATACGGTATCATCGCCCTTCTCTGTCTCGCGTCTTGCATTCAAGAACGCAAGCCGCTCAATTCGAAGCAGGTCACGCACGAAGACTTTTGAGGTATGAAGAGCGCAACCTTCATCCGAATGGAGGAGGGAGGCTGATCGAGTGGCACGCCGCTGAACGAAGCATTTGGAGGCCAAGTTAGTATCCATCGTTTCGTCATAGATGATCAAATCCGGCCCGTCTATTTCTGTGGACTATCATCCTAACATCAGTGCATGCAACCACCTTTCTTTGCCAATGAGCCAGAAATCACTTTTTCAACATCGGAGCTTCTTTGATTAAGAACAAGATATATTATATTTTATATATTATTTGTGTAAAACAAATAAAAAAAAATCTATATATTATAAATTAATTTATAGTTCTTAGTTTACTTACTATTTGTAATTCTTTAAACCAGTAGATATAAATGGTTAAAATAATTATATTTCAATCTAATTCAACTATATAGAAAAACAATTTATAGTTTGATCTAACTGCTAGGTTGGTCAGGTTACAGTTAAGATATAACAGTCAGGTTAAGCCACTCTAATCTATCTTCTTAGGGTGGCTCGGGGTAAACAGGTTAAGCAGATCAAGCAGGTATAACAGGTCAAGCAAATAGAACAGGTAGAACAGGTGCGCTAGGTCTGCACTGTGACAAATAGAAGACTACTTTAACTGCTTTTGTCTTGTCTAACCAACATGTCTACTGCATCAAGTAGTTCCGGACAATTCATATATGAATTAATTTATATTACAGCCCAATACAGCTAGCTTGCATCTAATACATGACTCAGCATTTTGAATATAACTAATCTTTATGGTAATCTTCAACTGTTGGGTAATTTATTCTAATAGTAGTGTATTCTATAATAAATATCTGGTTGATGGGGTGGCCGGTTCGCTTCCATGGCCGGTTCGCCTATTGAATATGCTATAAAGTGTTTATATATAGCAGAATGCAAAGGATTCAAATCACTGCACCTCTCCACCGTACTAACGAAGTCAACAGGGTCAACCGGAGTACGTGGGATTATTCGATGGTGTGACTGGGTTCCTCCTAAGAGATCGGGATGAGTGAAGTGTTTCTCTTGGGCAGCGCCGCGAGACTCCCGGTTGGCCAGATCATTCCTGGCCTTGGTTATAAAGATTTCTCCGACTTCTGCTCCACGGCCATACCCGAAACTGTTCCGGTTCCCGGATGTCCAAAGCCATGGTGAGGCGATTTTCGACTGATTGAAAGTCCGGCTGACTTCGGAGTAGAGCGTACTCAAATCTCACCACCGGCTCCACTACCATCACACCACCAGTGCCTTGTGCATGACTCCGATAATCCGATAGTACGTCAATCTTCTCCAGTGATTAGTCCGGATCCGTCAGCGGCCGGTCAAGACTCGACACCCAAGTGGTCACCAGGTTCCCAACCCTTTTGTCGTTAGTCCAGGTCGGTGTCCGTAAAGCTGACGTTGCGGCTTCGGGCACATCAGCTCTGGGCCGAATCAGGTGTTGTGTATATTGAAGCTGACGGTTTTGCATCAATGCGGCGCCTTTGTCGTAGTACTAATTGACTACGGGCCGACGCCTCCTTTCCCCAAGGGAATGATGGGTTTGGTTCCTTCTTCCTTCAATGTGAAGCGGGGTCTTATCGATTCAGTGGTGCGGCCAAACCGAGAACGTGGGAATAAGACAGAGGCTTGTTAAGTGACCCCAGTCGAGCGGGTGATTCCAAGTCAGTTGATATGGCATCGGATACCTCCGAGATTCTGAGGCCTACACTTTACTTCGTTCGTTTGTACTTCGGGCGGTAAGTGGATACCTTACTATGTGGTCGGGTCACTCCGACCGACGGGAGCGCTCCGGATCTCCACATGAAGACGTCAAGAGGTCGGCTCAGCCGATGAGCGAAACTTTGCTTGGAAGCCCATCCAGTATCGGAGCGACCCGACTGTCAAGACAAAATCTCTAATTTATGTGGACAAAAGATGCGAGTCTGTTGGAAATGTGGGAAAACCGAAAATACATAAAGGCCAGGTAATGATGTAGTCTGTCTCCGGAGGCCTCGAGGCATCGGGCATGCCAAGAATGCCAACTACCATAGCAAATAGACAACCCTCTCAGCGAATGCGCTCCGGGTAACTGGGAGGAAACTCAGTAGGGGGCATCGGAAAAGCTGCTGGACTTGCGAATGGCTACGCCGTAACGGCGGAAGATGAACGGGGAGGGCAGTAGCAGGAGAGCAACGGCACCCAGAACAGTGGCCGTCCATTCGACGCCGAGTCCGTCATACATGGGGGTACACCACAAAGAAAAGGTGGAGGAGACCAAGCTACGGACAACCACATGAATGGAGATGGCCGAGTTAGGGCAGGTAGTGTAGACATCGATGATGTAGACGATACCAGTAATGAAGATCAGCTGCAAGCCCAGCCCGACCCAAAAGGCGGCGATGACCTGGGCGATCCAGTGCGTCAGCATTGCCCAACCGAACCAGAAGAGTGAGGGCGGCAGGATCACTGCACCCCAGAGCATGGGGGGAAGGCGATCCTCTGGGGTACAATAGCCCTGCTCCTCAAGCTTGCGGCGGAAGGGGCCCCGGTTATACACCGTCCAGAGAAGGACGGCAACAATTTGACCCAGGTAGACAGCGACGAAAGGTAGCGTGGCGGTGGTGCTGGACCAGCCGCGGCGCTCGAAGGCGTAGGTGAACATATCGTAGGCCAGGTAGAAAGAGCCATACACCACGGTCAGATACACGGTGATGATGATGAGGATAGGCTCTTGGACAATCATCCGAAGGGGCTTAGACAGATGGTGATGGATCAGGTCGGAGAAATCAATTCCCTCCTCTTCAAGTGGGGCTCGCAGCTCTGCATTACCGGTCTCCTTGCGTAGGCGTCGGGCCTTGCGGACCAACAAGACCTCCCCGGCGCACTCGCGAATGGTGCACGCCGCGATAAGGCCTATCACAGTGCATAGAATCAGAGTGATCCAGGCAACCCAGCGCCAACCCGCGTAAGCCACCGTGTACGACCCCACAATTGGACCCAACGCACTACCCATATTCATCAGTGTTGAGGCGAACCCCACCGCCAGGGCACGAGAAACAGGGCCAAAGATCTTGGAAAACATGCCCGAGCCCACGGCCAGGACGCCGCTACCGATGGCCCCGGCCAGAAATCGACTCACAAGGACGGTCTGCACGTTTTGTGCCAGCCCGAGAGGGATTTGGAAGATAGCGGCTCCGAGTACGGCTACCGCCAACGGCGTCGTGTTGCCGTACACCTCGGAGAACGGGCCCCAGAACAAGGGCCCTGTGGCAAAGCCCGCCACAAACAGGGTCACAGAAAGATCCATAACCTCGCTTGAAACCCCGAACTCGGCACCTACCACCTTGTTGGCTGACCCGAACACGCTGGATGCAAAGGAAATATTGAAGATCATGAGGGAGGCAACGAGAGTGAAGATCAACTTCTTGGAGCGAGGCCAGTTACGAGGATTTTCCGGGTCGTCGGGCCCGTCCCAGGTGACCAGGTTGTTGACATATGTATCTCATGGCGGTCAGTTCAGGGCAGAGCTGGACTAGGGAGCATGGGGCTAGGGCAGACATACAGCACTCGCAATGCTGCGTCTGGGCCCGGTTGGCATACTCGGTTTTTGGCTCAGAGGGCGGCAAATCCGATGCCGCAATCTCCGCCTGGTGAGCGGCCTCATCTTCATCTGTGATGGGCATTTCAAAGACTCGGGCGCGGACAGTATCTGGCAGATGGCCACCGGTTTCGTAAGATGTCTGATGTGACAGAGGATGGGGAAGAAAGAGTAGAAAGTCTTGCCTGCGAAAGCCAGCCATACTCCAGACTGCCGCCTGACGTCTTTTATGGGATTTGGTGGAGCCTCTGCCTGAGCATGTAATAGCAATCATGCTATCCGATGCGTCCCATCCATCCCCTATGCGGGTCTACAAACGAGGGAAATAAGGGGAGAGGCAAAATCGGTGGGGAAGGCCGGCAACAACGGCAATGTCTGGTGTGCCGGATTCACAGCAAGCGTGCAGGGCACAACAAAAATTATGCCGGGAAATGGCTCTAAATTACGGCACTCGGATAGGTCTTATGCTTAGCGTTCGGCCAAGCTTTGCAGCAGCTTGGCAACAAAAGCTTGCCTAGTGCCCCTGTCAAGGGACTAATACTGTACCCGGTGGTACTCCTAAATGCTGACCTGCAACCGGATTTTATTTTTTCAGTAAAGGGGCCACAGAGAATGATAAGAGAGACTTGATTTGTTTGAGGATGTTTGTGACTACGTAATATTCTGCTCTTAACTATCATCTTTGTAATAGGCGCTTTGATATCTGCCATAAGCAGACAGGTTTTCTGTCCCAAAGGAAGTACCGATTTCTTAATATGCATAACAGTGCGCCTTTTATCTATTTATAAGTGCTCTTTCACCCCCGGCAGAGACTAAAGTTTGGCTGCGATAAGACTTTGTAGTGGTTTAATAGCCTAGGTTGTAAGAGGTTGCGGTTGTGGAGCTATAAAGGGAGGATAATTAAAGCTAGGTAAGGTTTATATTTTTGAAGTAAAAAGAAAGAAGAAGGACTTTATAGACCTTTATTAAGTACTTAGGTGCTTTAGTCACCTACACTAACTTATTTAATAGACTAAATAGACTAAAATATTTATCAAATAGTGGTTTGATAGCCTTGGCTGCGAGAAGTTGTAGTTAGTTGCAAAACCATTACTACTATTTATGTATAAGTAGATGACTAATATTTATTAGTTAGATAGTCCTCAATAGTTATATAAAGCTTGACTTTAGATATATAACTATAGTAAAGTAGATAATGACTTTGTCTTTATTTTTACTAGTCTTTTCAATAGAATTAATATATTCTAAAGCTTATTCTAGTTGTCACCGGACGGAAAGATTGCGCTAAACAAAACATGCCTTAGAATAAAAAAATAGCTGAAAGATTATTTTATCTGTTTGAAGAAAATCCTTCTTATATATACTAAGCTAGTGCTAATTTATTATATAGTACATATAAGGGCTAAAGGGTGAAATAGTGTAGTGAACAAATATCCTTAGCTAAGGTGGTAGTATTATGCCTTAAGGTGTTGTTGCTGATCTTTCCTAACTTCGCGGGACTGCCGCTGCCTTAGGTGGTTCCGCGACCACCTCGCTTAGCCATCACGTGACTAATGCCTTAGGCCTTCTTTTATATACATTCCTTCGCGATATCAACCGCGAAGGTTGGAAGGGCTCGCAGGGCCCTTACAGTATACAACGCCTCAGATACTATCTAGTATCTAAAGCTGAGCTCTAAACTAAGGTCAAGTTCTATAACAGAAGTTCTCCCTTCTTCTTCTTCTTCTTCTTCTTCTTCTTCTTCTTCTTCTTCTTCTTCTTCTTATTTCCTTCTGTAGATTCTACTTATATAAGCAGGTTGTTTGGGGTCCAGAATAGTAGCTTTATACCTTAGTTTTTTTTTTAGGTGATATTATAGCTTATTAGTGTATAGTATAAGAATAGGCAGAGCCTATTCTATATACATAGCAGGCCAAGGGGGTCTGTATAGAGCCTTTTTTACTGTTAATAATAGTAGTACTTAGTTGTAAACAGTAGTTATTAGTTATAATACAGTTGCAGTATGGTTACAATACAGTTAGAGTACAGTTATAATACAGTTATAGTAGTAAAAGATAGTTATAAAATAAGAAATACTATTATATAATTAAAAAAGTATATTATAAAACTGTATATAACTAGTATTAAAAATAGATTTTTTAATAATTAATTTTAATACTAACAGTTATTTTAAATATTATTTAAATTACTTATAGTTTTTTTTATATTAGATTAGTTATCTCTCTATTCTATAACTGTAGGCTAAGAAGTAATAACAGTACTATTAAGATTTTTAAGTATATAAAATAGTATTTTATAATATAAAAATAATAAAAATCTTTATAATACTTTATATAAAATTAATATTCTATATATACTATGTTAAAACTGTTAAGGTTGGGAAAGTATAAGCAGCCTTTTATAAAAAATCTAATATAAATACTTTTTTAATATTAGGATTAGATTTTATCAAAGCCTATTTACTTAAATATTTAAAATAAAAAAGTATTAATAAAGGATCTTTTTAAATTACTTATAAAGATTTTATAAAAAGAAATATAGAATATTAATAACTAAAATAGTATATAATCCTATAAAAAAATAAAATAAAGTAGAATAATATTAAATAAATAATCAACTATAAAGTAGATGGAAACTAATAAATATTAGTAAGTATAATATAAAGAATATAAAAAACCATAAACTAACTGTTTAGAAATCCTAATATAACTTTAAAAAAATAGTATTATATTATTATACTGGATTAGAATATTCTAAAAATACTCTATTAAATATACTAGTAAAAATATTTTAAAAATTTAATTTATTAAACAGACTTTTAGTTTTTTAAAATTAAGTTGTTTAGATAGAACATATTTTTTAATTATAAAATTATATTTATTTAGTAAGATATAATAATTTAAAAGCTATAGATATAGCTGGTAGAGTTTTAAAATTAATTAAATTTAAATAAAAAAACTATAGTTCTAAATACTACTAAACCTAAGTTATAGGAACTGTTAAATCTAATTTATTTAAAAAAATAAGTTATAAAATTATATAGCAAGGCCCGATCTGTCCAGATCTTATAAATTTTAAAAATAAAAATAAAAGTAATTAGAGTTAAGATTCTAAACAGTAGAAAAGTTATTTTATATTTATTTATATTTTTATTTTCTACTTAGTATATTATAGTTTATTAATAGCCTATACTTTATAATAAATAATAAAAAGTATATTCTAATATAAATATTTAAAATAGTAAGATTTTAGAGCTATTTATTTTTTAAAACTGGTAGTTTATCTATAAACAGTTAGCTAGTTATTTATATTATAAAAAATAAAATATATTACTATTAGATATAAATCTTTTTAGATCTTAAAGCTTAAGTAATAAAGTAACTGTAATAAAATACTAAAAAGCTTTTTAACTGTATATAATAAATTAGAATATTATTAAAATTAGAATAGTATAGTATATTAATAAGAGCTTTCCTGAGGTCTCTCAGAAAGGCTTTATTAAACTCTCACTTCTGCATACAAATTGGGTGCGAAAGTGAGGTGAAAGTAAGAGAAAATAAAAGAATCAAAAATAAGAAGAAATAGGCTAACTGCTAGAATT